CCAAAGTAGCTAGTCCATGTTGCGTATGATCACCAGAAACCCATGTGGATCACCGATCCATTCTTTGACTTTGAACCATGCATCTATTAGTTCTCTCTCTTTAAAGTTGAAGCAGGGGACGACAAAAAACATTCAGGCTAGCTGACTCTACGAGCACGTGATTGGATAAGCACGTGACATATACCGGAGCAGCAGGTTCGCGGTGTGTGAACGCATGCTGCTCGATCGATCAACTTCTTTTGCATTTGCATGAATTGAAGGATGAGGAAGAGAAATTGGATGTTAACATTCACGTTCTTTCTCTGCAGCAATGTGATAGACGTCTGAAGAGAAGAGTAACCTAGTGCAGAATTTGCATTTTAGCACCTAAAGTTGTACTCCCTCCGTTTCTTTAATTAAGGCCTTGTTTAGTTCCACCTCAAAAACTTTACATCCCATCGCATAGAACGTTTAGACACATATATGTAGTATTAAATATATACTTAAAAAATAACTAATTACACAGATTAAAAGTGCTTTGCGAGATGAATATTTTAAACCTAATTAGTCCATGATTTAACAATGTAGTGCTACAGTAAACATCTGCTATTGACGGATTGATTAGGCTTAATAAATTCGATTGTCTCGCGCTATACTGACTGATTGTGTAATTGGTTTATTTACTAGTGTCCGAAAACTCTATATGGCACCCTATATAATACTCGACGTGACACCCTAAACTTTTACACCCAGAAACTAAACAGACCCTAAATGTCGTATTTGGTTTTGGGAGAAAGTCACAAAAAAGTATCGTATTTTCGTCCGCATGCCTCGGTTCCTTCCAAACAATTAAAACCTTGTTTAGTTTACAAAAGAAAATTTTTGGGTGTCACATCGGGTTGGACCGGATGTTAGAAGTGGTTTTCGGACATGAATGAAAAAATTAATTTCATAACTCGCTTGGAAACCGCTAGATAAATTTATTAAACCTAATTAATCTGCTATTAGCACATGTCAGTTATTGTAGCACTTATAGCTACTCATGGACTAATTAGGCTCAAAAGATTCGTCTCGCGAATTTCATGCATACTGTGCAATTAGTTTTTTTATCTATATATTTAATGCTCCATACATGTATCTAAATATTAGATGTGACGTTTTTAGGAAAAATATTTTGGGAACTAGACATGGCCTAATTCCGCATCCATGCAGCCAATGAATTAGTACCGCAGCTGGTGAATTAGGGTGTGCTTAGATACAGGCTGTAAAGTTTTGGGGCATTTGCATGCATCATTGTGCTTGTGCACATGCAGGGATGTAGGTATATCCACAGTTGAGAGGGTATGGCCAATCGCAGGCGGATGCACAAGAGACGTGTAATACTGTCCAGCTGCAACGACCACAGCCCACGATTTTGCTGTCAGGCGTCGCCGTCGATTTTGGTGAATTTCTTCCTTGTCCACATGGCGCGCAGCTGGAGGGAAAGTTCTTCAGGCCTTCCTTTCCTTGCGCCACGAGTTTTCTCATCACCTTGTCCTTCCGCCCGTATTTATTCCTGCTGAATGCGATGTGAGGTTTTTGGTAGGGATGTTTAATTAGTGTTAGGTGTATAAAATTTTAGGGTGTCAAATCGGATGTTTCATAGAGATTTCGGATACTAATAAAAAAACTAATTGCAGATTGCATCTATAAATCGCGAGATGAATTTATTAAGCCTAATTAATCCATTGACGATTCACGGTTAGACTCCACCTTCGACTTGCTGACTAGACGAGACTAACGACGACACGGCTGTCGCCGTCGCTGATCAGATCGACTCTTCGATCCGAGAAAGAAAAACGACCATGTCGTGTAAATCATTTTCACTTCCGCAGTCCTCCTTTACGCCCTGTAACATCTGACCAATATCATCTGCACCCAGGGGCAGACCCAGGGGGTGTGCCGGGTATGCACCGGCACACCCAAAAAAACGAAAAACTTATAGTATATAGCATGTATTAGTTTGGGGCAAAAGTTTGAATGAGTATGAACGCATGAGCCAGCCCATCATAGATGCCTGTGTGATGTGTTGTGCGCTTTGCATCGTGCAAGTTCCCCGCTTCACCTCGCATTCGCGTATCCACTTGGCATCGTGTGAAAGGTAGCTAGGGTCAGGGCATCAGGCGTTGTTCCACATTCAGCGAGCGGCGGCGGTGACACCGAAGAGCACGACAGTCAACAGGCCAGAGCACCGATATTGGCTGGACGGCGAGTGTGGAGCGTCGACGGTGGAGACGAGAGCCGCAGCCACTAGCATTTAGAGACATGGCGAAGCAACGTCGATGCACGCCCGGTGAGTCTGTGAGCAACGCAAGGAATGCAGCCAACAGCAACCACATTGACCAAGGCAAGCAAGCAAGTCCAGCTTCGCATCATCTATCTAAAACTTCAGATATAGATATACTCTTTGGGACTTTTAGTCTCTCACTATTTTTAGTTTCTTTGTCTCCCTGAATTTTCTTTTAAAGGAGAGCTAGAGATTGGTTGAAAAATTGAAAATTCTGAAATCAGTTAATACGAAGAGGAACAAGGGCATTGTCTTCTTTTAGCAAGGCATTAGAAAATTCAGATTATGCTTTGTCTAGGTCATGTACAGGGCTCCATATTTTGGTGTATAAAATGTTCGGTTTGCATATATTTTTGTGTATATGCTCTAGACCAATGTGTAGGGCTTGTATTTGTAGGCACACCCAGGGTATAAATCCTGGGTCCGCCACTGTCTGCACCGTCGTAATCTTCAACAGCACCGTCCACCTCGTCTATTGTATTTTCTTCAAATTCGTTGTACTTCGCCCAGTCCTGAATGTTCGCCCAGTCCTGAATGTTCGCGTCCTCTACTTCAAACATACTACCCGCAGATGATTGTGCAATGTTAGGATCAAGATGCAACGTCCGATGCTATGTACAATTTATTTTTCTCTCCAAACATACTACCCGCAGATATCATTTGGAGTAGTTATCTTTCAAATTAACCAGACTCAATTACTGCCCACAAATAGGATTATTATCAATGATTAATTTGGTGCTGAATGAATCAGCGTCTGCGTGTTGCATGCTCCTATAATTTATCCTCTGCGTGTTGCATATGCTCCTATAATTTATGATGAAGTGTCTATGTCGCGGAGGTAGTCGTACATGTGCAAAATTATTTGCTTGAAAATTAATTTTCACAAGAGTGAGTTATTTTGCTTTGGTCAGGCAAAGGAGTGTTATGAGCAATATTCTAATATCTTTAGTTGTAAGTTAGGGTCTTTTTCAGTTAAATATCTCGGTATTCCAATGCATTTTAGAAAGCTGTGTAATAATGATTGGAAAGTTATCGAACAAAGAATAGAGAAAAAACTTAGCAGCTGGAAAGGAAAACATATGTCTATTGGGGGTAGACTAGTTTTGATTAATTCTGTCCTTTCAAGTTTAGCTATATTTATGATATCTTTCTTTGAGATTTCGAAAGGGGTTCTTCAAAAGATTGATTATTATAGATCTCGTTTCTTTTGGCAAGGAGATGACCAAAAGAAAAAGTATAGACTTACTAGATGGGATATTATTTGCCAACCCAAAGAACAGGGGGGTTTGGGGGTTCATAATTTAGAGATTCAAAATAGATGTCTTTTGAGTAAATGGTTGTTCAAATTAATAAATGAAAATGGTGTTTGGCAAGACTTATTGAAGAGAAAGTATCTTTATAATAAGTCTATAACCCAAGTTGATAGGAAACAAGGTGACTCCCATTTTTGGTCAGGACTCATGAAAGTCAAAAAAAACTTTCTTAACTATGGGTTCTTGGATTGTAAATAATGGGGAACAAATAAGATTTTGGGAAGATAGATGGTTAGGAAATATGGCCTTTAGAGAAAAGTATCCATCTTTATATGCTATTGTCAGAAGGAGAAGTTCTTCTGTTGCTAGTGTGATGGCTTCTGTTCCGCTCAATGTTTCTTTTAGGAGAGCTTTAGTTGGTCAGAATTTAACACTTTGGCATGAATTGTGTGCATCTATTGTTTATATTCAATTGAATAATACTTCTGATTGTTTTAGATGGAACTATCATCAGAATGGCCAATTCTCAGTTAGATCAATGTACTTAGCTTTAATTAATAATGGTTACATTGATAGAAATAAGTTAATTTGGAAACTCAAGATGCCGCTTAAGATCAAGATCTTTATGTGGTATTTGCTTAAGGGAGTTGCGTTAACCAAGGATAATTTTGCAAGACGGAATTGGAATGGTAATTTAAGATGTTGCTTTTGTACGAAAAATGAGTCTATCCAACATTTGTTCATTGATTGTGATTTTGCAAAGTTTATTTGGAGGGCAGTTCAGTTTTCTTTTGGTTTATATATTCCTACTAGCATATCTCATATTTTTTATGATTGGCTTCAGGGAGTCATAAACAAAAAGAGCAAACTGATACTTGTTGGAGCTTCTGCCTTGTGTTGGGCACTGTGATAATGTTATTTTGTGTAGTTTGGTTGGTCTGTTTGCTTCTATTTGAACTTCACTCTTACAGAGTGCTAGTTTGTAATAATTGGCTGTAGCTCTTTTGAGTAAAGGCCGGTATGCTATTTCATTCCATTATCTTAAAAAAAATCGTACACATGCAGAGAGGTTTGCCTCCTTCCTAATCTATTCTTTTATATATATGATGCCACTATGAACCTCAGGGGGAAACCAATCGGTCACCTCAGCCTCTAAAAGGATTTCATTCACAACTCACGAAAGAGATAGATAAATAAGATATATTTTTAAATTTTATTATTAGATCTTATACAAAATTAGATCCTACAAATCTTATGAATATATATATATATATATATTGTTAGGTTTTCATTATAATTTTGGACAGGATATATGTTAGAAAATCACTGCGTGTCCATTAAGCCTCCGTTTAGTAAAGATAAAGATTGGTCAAGCCGTCACATTTATGCCACATCATTTTTTTTTCTTTTTTTATCAGTAGTAGGTGTACGTCTATTTATAGCGGCGTGCACCCACCATCAGAGGCAGAGCGTGCGGGCTTCTTCTCCTAGCATGAGTTGAGCCTCTTAATAATTTTCTCCGAAAAGGCGTGCTTTAATTTCCTCTGAGATTGAGCTCAGCAGTACATCTCCAGGTTTTTCTTCTGCCAGCAGGTAATTAAGCATTGTTTCTTGAATTCTTGTTGAGTGCTTTCATTTAATTTGCTTGTTCCGATCTGGTACCTGCATGGGTTGCCGCAGATGACACAGAGAGCGTGAAGAAATTTCTCATAACATGTGCAGACTCAAACACACACACACACACACACACACACATATATATATATATATATATATATATATATATATATATATATATATACATATACATATATATACATATGTATACATATATATACATATACATATATATACAGGGCTTAGACGTTCTCCTTTTGATTTCACTCGTGTGTTACCTTGTGGTTGGTGTGTTATTAACCAGGATTAAAGGTTAGAGAACCTTTATTATATGTTCGTAATACTGACCGACACTAATAAGAGGGTTCGATGCACGTAAAATTTAGACCCGAGACCTGGTCCTCAATAAACTGCTGCAGCGGGATAATTCTTCTTGTGATTTTTGCAACTTCTGATCGACCAACTGTTATGTGGTTCTTCCTTGGCCTCCCAATGGCCAGTGTGGGTTGCCTCTTGGTATGGCAACCACGTATGACGCCGGACTGTACTCCTGATGGAGTCAGGCCTCCTTCTTCCAAAGCCTTTACACATAGGCAGTGTTTAGTTCCCTTCAAACTTCTAACATCAAACTGTGCAATTCGTTATTTTTTATCTACATTTAATGTTTTATACATATGTACAAATGTTTGTACATATGTATAAAACATTAAATGTAGATAAAAAATAACGAATTGCACAGTTTGCATGTAAATTGCGAGACGAATCTTTTGAGCCTAATTATACCATAATTTGACAATGTGATGCTACAGTAAATATTTGCTAATGACGGATTAATTAGACTTAATAAATTCGTCTCGCACTTTACATGCGGAATCTGTAATTTGTTTTGTTATTAGTCTACGTTTAATATTTTAAATATGTGTCCTTATATAAAAAATTTTTTGGCACACGACGGCCATAGACTGACATAGGTTGACATAGGTGACCTATTTTTAAGGAAAGGGCAATTAAATTTGTTAATCAATGGAAAAACAACGTTTTGTTCCATCGATCACCTGAATCGATCATGCAGTGTTTGTTATGAATCGATCATGCAGTGTTTGTTATTCTTCTTCCTCGGTTCCTCTTAGTCTCCATTGTCTGCCATAACGAGAATATTCGCATCTCAATCCAGGAGCGGTAGATCAAACTTCAAACTCATCTTGGAAATAAAATCCTGAATCTATTGTTATAAGCTGTAGAATCCTAGTAGAAACACACGAAATACTCTGGATGTATAAAATAAAGTTGATCTCCGTATAAACCTCCTCCTCGTAAACATGGGTTGCAATTGAACATGAATTTGCATTCACATAATTAAACAGAACCAAATCAATGCACCGGAATTGATTTCCTGGTACGAAGGGCATGTGCACGCAAATGCACAAGCAAAATGATGCATGCAGGGATGCAGCTATATATCCACAGTTGAGAGGTCTCGCCAATCGCAGGCGGATGCATGCACAAGAGACGTGTAATCATAATCCTGTCCAGCTGCAACGACCACAACCCACGATTTTGCTGTCAGTGTCGCCGTCGATGTCTGAAATTTCTTCCTTGTCCACCTGGCGCGTACTATGCAGCTGCGTGCGTCGTACTCCATCACTGTCCTACGAATAGTACTCTCTCCATCACTATAAAGTTCAACAGTAACTTTTACTCTCTCCATATTATTTAAAAAATTTATAAAAAATATATAAAAATTAAGTCAAGTATAAAAGTATTATTCATATTTTATCATCTAATTACAATAAAAATACCAATCATAAAAATATTTCAAATAAAACGAGTGGTTAAAGTTGAGCACTGAAACCATAACTGTATTAATTATTATGGGAGGAAGGGTACACCATCTTATTCGAATTGAGGGTACCCACAACCCACAATTGTACTTATGTATCAAAGCCTCCTCCATATTATTTGAGCTGCAGCTGGATTTATTCGTATTTATTCAGGCCTTCCTTTGGCCACGAGTTTTCTCGTCACCTTGTCCTTCCGACCGTATTTATTCGTGCTGAATGCGATGTGAGGTTTTTGGTTGGGCTGTTTAATTAGGTCTTGTTTAGTTCGCGAAAAGAAAATTTTTGGGTGTCACATCGGACGTTTGGTCGGATGTCGGAAGGGGTTATAGGTCACGTATGAAAAATCTAATTTGATAACTCGCCTGAAAACCGCGAGGCGGATATTTTGAGCTTAATTAATCTGTCACTAGCACATGTTGGTTACTGTAGCACTTATGGCTAATTATAGACTAATTAGGCTCAAAAGATTCGTTTCACGATTTCTATGCATACTGTGCAATTAGTTTTTTTAAATCTATATTTAATACTCCATGCATATATCCAAAGATCCGATGTGACTTTCTGGGAAAAAAAATTTGGGAACTAAGCTAGGCCTTAGTTACATCGAATGTTTTATGGAGTTTTCGCATACTAATAAAAAAACTAATTGCAGATTCCGTCTGTAAACCGCGAGACGAATTTATTAAGCCTAATTAATCTGTGCCCAGCATTAACGCCTCACAGATAGACTCCACCTTTGACTTGCTGACTAGATGAGACTAACGACGACATAGCTACCGCCGTCGCTAATCAGATCGACTCTTCGATCCGAGAAATCGCACCGATGGCAGGGATTGCAGAAAGAAAAACGACCACGTCGTGTAGATCGAATCTCCAATGCTCTGATACCACTCGTTAAGAAAATAGATACATAACGCAGACACGGAATTTTACGTCGGGAAAAAACCACGAACGCCAACTGGCAATGATCACTATTTAGGAGTCAGATACAAACGCAGGGATACATTGCACTATCGCACCTCTTCCTGTGCGGCTTACAAAGGATACATATAAGAGAATCTAGGAGTCCTAATAGGCAAAGACTCGAAGTCCTAGTAGGAAACTAATCCTATAATACAAAATACTAGTAGAAAACTAATCCGGTCATATTGATTGCTTAAATTCCGATCACATATTTAACAATTTGGCTCAACAAATTGGTTTTACATGCATAATAAGAAATTTTCGCTGCATAATAAACAAATTTACATGCCGTATCAACGATTGGAACTACAACACATATAAAACAAGTTTGACCGGTCCGTGGGTGTGTTTAGTTTACACCAAACTTTCCCCAACTCCCAACTTTTCATCACATCACATCACATCCAAAACTTTCCTACATACATAAACTCTCAACTTTTTTTCCAAACTACCAACTTTTCACAAACTTCTCCTCAATTTCAGAAACTAAACACAGCCACGGTATCACTGTATCAGCCCCCATAAAATTATCGGTCCTGAGCAGCTACACCTACACATCATATCTTTTTTATTTATTTAAACGCCTATATAGTACGCAACTTACCAACAAATCAATCATGCACATGTCTTTGAGTATGAGAACATACTGAGAACCGGTTGATCTGCATGTCTTTTCTATTAATTATAAACATAGTACTACACCTTATTGATTGTTATACCTTCCAAAGAATAATACATTGTTAGTTACTTCTTTGTAAGCCCTGATATTCAAGATCATTCATTCATTTAATTTGTTTGCATGTAGCCATGGGTTCAGGACTCTTCAAGCCTCGTGTTCATCCGGACCTCCGTGATGTTTTCTCTAAGATGTCTTTCTTTGACAAGATTGGCTTTCTAGTACGTTTTTAATTAATTTTTAAGAGTAATTTATATATCAAGTATTTATTTGATGTACATACTGCATACAATATACACATACATACCTATTCCTTAAGAATATCAGGTAATGATTATATATTAATGTCTGATCATATATAGGAATTATGTGTTATGTATGAAAATTAATCAGTATGCATGTAATTGATGTGGTCATCTTTTTATTTTATAGCAAGATAAGGGTGTTAATTAGAGAGGATGCATACATATATAGGTGAGCACTTCAGTTAATTACATCTTGGCATTAATGAAGTGTTATTTTTATAATAAAATAATTGATCACATATAATATATATAACAATTCTAATGCAACAAAAAATAAATTATATTTTGAGCTAGCGATGCAGGATTTTAATTGTTTGATCTGTTTTAATTAATATCTCAGGTGTGTGTGTGTGTTGTCTATATATATATATCTCAAAAAATACGCCAAATTAAGTTTGATGCACCATTTAATTAGGGCAATCCGTTATAATTAAGTATATTTTCAAATGAGTATGTGTGTCAATATGTAATATTTTTTCCCCTGCATATCCTGGTAATTAACAAATTATGTTCGTATAAATATGGCCATTATAGAAGCACGCATATATACATAAGCTTGATCATGCTTGTGCACCACCTTATTAACTACTCAAGTTATTTGAAGCTTTCCAATTGATATTCCTCATTAGTACGTTGAAGTATTTAATTTTACATATGCACATATACCTAATTAAATTCCCAATGTATTAACTAATTAACTCTTGTTAATTTCGTTCATGTAGTTCATTCATGCATTTGACAAGAGAAACCTGTGGCACAAGGTGCCTGTTCCGATCGGTTTGCTCTACCTGAACACCCGCCGGACCCTGCTCGAAAAATACAACCTGCTAGCTGTTGGGAGGAGTTCTCACGGTGCTCTGTTTGATCCCAAGGAGTTCCTGTACCGCACCGAGGATGGCAAGTACAACGACCCCCATAATGCTGAGGCTGGTAGCCAAAACACCTTTTTTGGGAGAAACATGGAGCCGGTTGATCAACAGGATGAGGTACTACTTCTATTTTACAAATTTTCTTACAGAATTCTAAATTTCTAAGTTCTAACAGTACAAGTTAATAGCTTAATTAAGCACTTGTTTCCCTAAAGTCCAGCCTGTATCTAAGCATGTAATAGGGATAGTACTGCTAGGGTGTCAGCTAGCCTTACCTAGCTAACATGTTTTACTTACCTGTTTTATACTTGCTTTTACTACATGTTCTGCCATCAACTTTTTTATGGGATGGAGGGGGTATATGGTACGATCGACCAGGACAAATATGCTAAGCCTGATCTAATCTCGGCCGGACCTGATCTATATTTACCAGCTGATTTCAATTTTCATCCCTATTATCTTGTTCAATAGAAAATTAGATACCATATATATTGAATTTAGTTAATGAAAAATAAAGGAGTAAAGATCACCAAAAAAGTGGTTGATTTTTATTTCTAATTTAATATCTAGTTTGACAGTTTGACTTTAAGACTTTATAATAACACTCTTTTTTATGAAACTTTTGTTTGGTAGTTCGTTCTGCATGCTTCAAATAAGTAAATGAATGAATTAACATTGAAACTCAAAAAAATAAGACGCGAGTTTTGTCAGTATATATTAAGATAAGAGCTAATTAATGTGCTTGTTAATTTAAAAATAGAACCATTTTCTTTTTAATTAGATCATACTGTTAACAGATGGAAATTTGAGGTACACTTTTAAATCATCAGGTTAATTATGCTTAACATAATTAGCTGTTATTTATCGGCGCAGTTGATGAGCCCAGATCCATTTGTTGTGGCGACAAAGCTGTTAGCCAGGAGAGAATACAAGGACACAGGGAAACAGTTCAATATACTAGCAGCTGCATGGATACAGTTCATGGTTCATGACTGGATGGATCATATGGAGGATACCGGACAGGTGCATGCTTGATTTAATTCCTTAATTTGAGAGCCTTAAGTTGTTGAAGTCTTAAAATTAAATCTTCATCTTCCATTGAGATTTTGAAATATATATTGTAGTTACATGTGGCAAATCGGGCGGGCGGGTCAGGTTCGGGTTGGACGGGTTGGGTTAGTTTGACCTTCTAGAATATCTCGGGTCGGGTCGGGTCGGGCCGATTTCAATATCAACATTTTTTTTATCGTATGTTGATTTGAGTTGGATTGGATGCTATTTGATATCGGATCGGGTCAGTTTTGGATCATATCGCGAGTCAGGTCAGGTCAATTTGATTTTGGAAAACGTCATGTCTGGTCGGGTCAGATTCGAGTCGAGTCGAGCAGATTTCTTGGGTCGGGTTGGGTTCTACCACCTCTAATTGCTAGTTGATATATAATTCAATTTTCTTGGTTTCTTCTAGATTGGAATCACAGCTCCAAAAGAAGTGGCCAATGAGTGCCCACTCAAATCGTTCAAGTTCCACCCCACAAAAGAACTGCCTACGAATTCTGATGGAATAAAGATTGGTCACTACAATATCCGCACAGCTTGGTGGTGAGTAATGCTTAAGATTTTCTCGAGTTAAGATCTTTATCAGAAATTTATCTTAAGCACAAAGAATGAACTTAAAAAATAGAGACAATCGATGTATATATATAAATCAATGCATATTTGCCCATAAAAAATGTCGTAATTTTTTTTTTGCAATTTCTATAATTATATATACCAAGGGATGGGAGTGCAGTATATGGTAATAATGAGGAAAGGGCAGAAAAGCTCAGGACTTATGTTGATGGAAAACTAGTGATCGGAGATGACGGTCTTCTTTTGCATAAGGAGAACGGTGTGGCATTATCCGGCGACATTCGCAACAGTTGGGCTGGTGTTTCGATCTTACAAGCTCTTTTTGTTAAGGAACACAATGCAGTTTGTGATGCAATAAAGGTAAGCGAATATATCATCACTATTTTCTATTTGTTTAGTTTTAGGAAGAATATAATTTGCTGTTCTTGACTAGCTTGCCACTGATTGTCTATTTGTTTAGTTTTAGGAAGAATATAAACTGTTATTTACCAAAACATTAATTTGTTTTCTTTATGCTATAAATATGAAGAAAAGATTACAAATGTTTTTTTTAATCTCAGGAAGAACATCCCAACCTATCAGACGAAGAATTATATCGGTATGCCAAATTGGTCACTTCTGCTGTTATTGCAAAGGTTCACACTATTGATTGGACTGTCGAGCTTCTCAAGACAAAAACCATGAGAGCTGCAATGCGCGCAAATTGGTGAGGATGCATTTATCTCATTTTCTCATATTTGCCGAAAGAAAAAAAATATAACCATTGATGCGGGTATTACTTTTCCAAGTGGAAATTTTATTTACATCTGCAAATTCAAATTAATTAAATTAGTGAGAATGTGTACAATTTACCTGATATTCTGATTCTTTTGTGAAGGTATGGATTATTGGGTAAGAAAATAAAAGACACATTTGGTCACATAGGAGGACCGATATTAGGTGGGCTTGTGGGACTGAAGAAGCCGAACAACCATGGCGTACCTTATTCTTTGACTGAAGAGTTTACCAGTGTTTACAGAATGCACTCCCTAATACCAAGCACTCTCAAGCTCAGGGATCCGACAGGGCAACCCGATGCAAATAATTCCCCACCATGCCTGGAAGAGTGAGTAAACAATTTAGGCCTCGTTTGGTTGGGGAAAATTTTTAGTTTTGATTGTCACATCGGATATACGGATATACATTTAAAGTATTAAACGTAGTCTAATAACAAAACAAATTACATATTTCGCTAGGAAACTGCGAGACGAATTTATTAAGCCTATAATTAATCCGTCATTAACAAATGTTTACTGTAGCACCACATTATCAAATCATAGCACAATTAGGCTTAAAAGATTCGTCTCGCAATTTACACGCAATCTGTGTAATTTGTTTTTTCTACATTTAATACTTCATGCATGAGTCCAAAAATTCGATGTGACAGCGTGAAAATTTTTGTTTTGGGAACTAAACAGGGCCTTATGTTTGGCATCCATCCCTCTCATTTTTTTAATGTGGAAGATGAAATGCAAACTAACAACTTCTATTTATTAAATCAGATAGAAAAATAGTAGATTATAAAAAAATAACGAAAAAAAAAAGTTAAGGCCCTGTTTAGATCCTCCAAAATGGCAAAAGTTTTGCCATTTTGTAGCACTTTTTGTTATTTTGGATCTAAACACTAGTAGCAAAAGTTAGCAATTTAGCATTTGGCATTTGCTAGTCCATAGTAGCAAATTGTGCCAAAAAGTGCTTTGGGACCACTTCCTCTCTCTTTCTCTCTCTCACTTTAGTGCTAGAATGGCAAAACTTTAACATGCATCTAAACACTAACTAGTACTTTTGCAATGCCAAAACTTTTGCCACCAAAACTTTTGTCATTTGCCATTTGCCATTCCAAATGGATCTAAACATGCCCTAGGACGTTCTCCTATTACATATCGACTCTTAATTACATCATTGATTACTGAACCTGACTTTAGACACTGAACTCGACACAAACGGCTAGATTTGTTATTATTTTTTTTAGCTTCTTGGCTACACAATAAAAAGTAGTAGAATGTATAATCTTGGTCACAATAAGTTTTCTGCTCGGTTAGCACATTTTTAGTATAACTGACATAAACACTGACACCATTTCTTTCTTGTGTCAAAATGTAGCATCGATATTGGAGAGATGATTGGTCTCAAGGGGGAAGAACAGCTATCAAAAATAGGGTTTGAAAAACAAGCATTATCAATGGGATATCAAGCTTGTGGTGCACTTGAACTATGGAACTATCCAAGTTTCTTCAGGAACCTCATTCCACAAAATTTGGATGGTACCAATCGATCTGACAGAATCGACCTTGCTGCCCTAGAAGGTATAATTAAAATTTAGACTCAATTTATACCACTACCAGTAGAGGATCATGATTTTGCACCATGTCAAGTTGGTACAAGCTAGGGTCCACCAAGAATAATCCAATGCATAAAAATATTGAAAATAACTCACACTGGCAACAAATGAAGTGCTAGAACAAGTATTGTGACCTTAATTAAACTACTATGTTGAAATTTATCACAACATACTTTTCAATTTTCAAGAATTCTCGAACTATTATTGTACTAACCAGATTGAAAATACAAGATTCTCTTACCGAGACATATATCATGTTTGTATATGTTGTAACCTTAACTAGCATTTATTTAAAAAACAAGGACATTGCTGCGTACTAGTATAAATAAAAATGTTAAGCAAAAACTGTACTATCCAAGTTAAGTAAAGAGGACATTGTACTGCTGTGTCTAATGCCTTTTGACAATGATTACACTGAGATTAATATCATTTTCTTTTCCTCTAAATTAAAGTATACCGAGACAGGGAGAGAAGTGTACCAAGGTACAATGAGTTCAGGAGGAGACTATTTCTGATTCCAATAAAAAGCTGGGAGGATCTGACAAGTGACAAGGATGCAATTGAAACCATAAGAGCAATATACGGAGATGATGTAGAGAAATTGGATCTTCTTGTTGGTCTTATGGCAGAGAAAAAAATCAAGGGATTTGCCATAAGCGAAACAGCATTCAACATTTTCATTTTAATGGCATCAAGGTAACATTTAGTTCTAACTAATATTGAATGCTAGACAAAGTACCAATTTTTGTTTAAGCCCTTGCTAAACGTATTAGGCAACAACCGAGAATGTGGCTTAAGCTTATTTTGAGTGATTCAAAATTTACCCAAACCAAAGTTTATTAAGGCAAGAAAATATAACGATGTGACCATTATATATGGGTACATTACTGGTAGATCCAGAATGTTACCAGAAAAAAAAAGAAGTCAAATGTGGAAGTACTAATTATAGATGATAACCACTCAGTTAAGATATGAATATTAATTTAACATCTCTAAAAACAGGAGGCTCGAAGCAGATCGATTTTTTACAAGCAATTTCAATGAGGAAACATACACCAAGAAGGGGATGCAATGGGTCAAAACAACAGAAGGCCTACGAGATGTGATCAACCGGCACTACCCTGAAATCACTGCCAAGTGGATGAAGTCCTCTAGTGCTTTCTCTGTGTGGGATGCAGACTACTAGTGCAAAAATTAAAGGCCCCCTGCCATATTATTTGGCAAGTTCTATGAAATATTATTTGTTTACAGAATTATGGTGTTTGTTCAGTGTAAATATAGTTAAATATGTCAGTGTAATATATGTAATAGGATTCATCGCACGACACAAGTTGTATGCTCATTTGTTTACAATTTATTGCACATTATTATTTGTTCATTGTAATTAAATATGGCTGGGAAAATAAGTAGGAGGAGACCATATAACATCTTCCTACAATCTTCTGTTTGATTACATCTTTCTTTTCTTTCTTTTGGTTTTGGTTACAGTGTATACTTGTACATCTACTTATACCAATTAAAGAAATCTTGGGCTTGATCGTCATCTTTTTCTTTAAAATAATCAAATCGATCTCAAATGTATGACTAAAAAAATGATGATATATTGTCTATTTGGCCCAATCCATTTACACCCATAATTCATCCTCTCTAACAAAAAAAAATGCCCTAATACACCATTAATCATACCTTTTCTTAATTTTATACGCGATATCTTCCTGTTATCTCAATGTGCAAATGATTAAATAAAGTGATACTTCTAAGAGGGAACAATTCATGAAGATGATTTGACAAAATCACAAAATATCGATCTAACGCGAATTAGTGGTGAACAGTTCAAGTAATACGCCAGTCCGAAAATGGAATTTCCTCTCTGTTTTTATTTATTTTATTTTCTTTTGTAGTAGGCGATTTCCTTTGTTTTTATTAAAAAGTAAAAAAAACTTATCTGTTGTGTATCAGCTCTGCTATGCCTTTTTAGTATAGCAAGTGGTAGCACCTTATTTCGGATGTGTACACACCGTTCCATCAATCTGAAATGTGTAGTTCTTCAGGAGCTGATCAAAGGTAGGTTTCTGTTTTGCAAATCTCCCCTGCACCTCTGAGGTTCTGACTCATTACCCTTCCAATTACCAACTTCCGGGTGCTTGGGCTTGATGATCCGAGGCCAACGCTGACTAGGACCGGCCTGATCGGGTAGGGTGACCGGTCTGACTAGTAGCACCTGAGCAGTAGGGTGACCAGAGCCTCACGGGGAACTTCTTGCCCCCGAGTCTAGAAGCTTTCACAGTAATTTTTAGTGACTCCTTCCCATCAGGAGTCTTCTCAACCACCACTTTCCTGGCCAGAATCTTATCTTCTGAGGTTTTCAACCTCTCCTCACAAATGATCACATTCTTCCCTTTAGCTCCTTCGGCTTGTTCCGGCCGAATGAGCATCTTGGCGTTGTTCAGATCAATGGTATGAACTGGGAATGGTATCTTGTCAACTTGCATCTCATACAAAACCAACCGTCCTTCATTACTTGCATGAGAAGAAGAATTATGCCATTTGCAATATGCACGCTTTAACTCCTCAAGCAACGGTATTGTATCAGATAGCTTGATGTTCTCCTTTTTAACCAACTCATCAAATATGCGATCACACTTAGAAACATCAAAGGTAAAACGGACTTCTTCTTTCCGATTCTTTTGAGTCGGCTTAAGTGATGAACAAGAATATGATTTAGCTTCCTGTTAACAGCAGAATTTTGCATCAGACTCGGTCTGTGATTGATAAACTTAAAGAAAATTTACTAAGGATATCAACCCCGAGTCAGGTTCATTGTGCATATCAGCTGTGCTTATATCGGCTACTGCAAAGGATGAGGCCGATTCAGCCAATGAAGTATTCCAGCCGATATGGGTTGGATCAGGCCCAAGTGAAGTCCGGATTTTGGAGAATCGTGCGTTGCCAACTAGAGATAAAGCTCATTCATGGCAACTGTATCTATTAATAAGGATATGTAAGTCATATTAATTAAGTGTGATCGTGTATGGCAAGAACCTGCTGTTGGTATTTCTTAATGACATTACTAGAAATAGAATTCCAAGCAATGGTGTAGAAACACTCGTGGTATATCATGGTTACAGATTTCATCCGCAAGCGCACGATTATACCATTGTAATATTTCACCCCGAGAGTATTCCAAGGGTATCGTATTTGTTTAATCCCGTGGGAAGATTATAATAAGGAAAACCATACTAATAATTTGTATGTTACTTGTAATAATCAAAGTCTAAGCAGGGGTTAAGATAATAAATAGGGTATGTAGAGTGACACACAACAAGAGAATTGTGTACTCTCATAATAAATCTTCTAAGCTAAGTGGAAAGAAAATAGAGAGAATCTAGTCCTATACTTCTAATATACATACATATTATATATATATCCTAGTTGTATGATTACTTAGCTAATAACTTATTTCCAATGCCCTCCTGATACTTCAAGAGGCCACCCTTGATTGCCGAGTTCCTTACAACAATCCATTATGACTATCCAACAGGGGCTAAATACGGAGGAGTACCCTCCCCAGGAAAGTAACTTAGGACTATATACACGCGCGGAGGAATACACGTACTGAGCTGTCACCATCAGCGGCCTACCTCGACTTATTCACAACATATAACCTCAAATAATGATATCCAGTAATCTAAGCACCATGCTTAAATACCAAATACTATTCTAATATGATCGTCATAACATAGAGCAAACATATATACGACCATTATACCCACACCATTGCATTTCCCAGATAAGCTAGCATCATAATCAGTTTAACTTGGATATATAATAAAGTTGGTATTCATATACTCGGAAAGTAATACAATACCAGAGTAGTATAAAGAAGAATATTCTAATAAAAGTATAAGTCTTACAAAAGAGAGTAGAGCTACTAGAACCAAACCCGAATCCTTCTGAAGACTTCTCGGACTAAGATTTCTATTCTATTCCTACTCCATTAGCTTGAGAACACTACTAAACTAAAGAGAGAGCTTGATTCTTCTTGCTTGAGGTGTGCGTTGGAATGGAGGCAGTGATGGCCTTTTATAGGCTGGTAATGACGGTTATGGCGGTTGGAAAGGTCGGTAATACCCTCCAACTGCCATAGGGGAGCAATCCAAACCGTCCAGCACCAACCTTGGATCCATCGGCTGCATGGCGGGTTTGGCCGAACCATGGGCCGGCTCAACCAGCCTAGGTTTTGGCTGGTGGCCCCATCATGTGTTCCTCATTGTAGCATTTCACTCTAAAGTATTCCAAGGTATTGTATTTTTAATCCCAAGGGAAGATAATAAGAGTGGACTATGCTAATACACTTTATACATATATTACTTGTATTTGTCTAAGTCTAAGTCGGGGTTAAATTTAATATAAGGGTAGAGTGACACGAAGTAAAGCTGATCAAATCCTCATAATAAATTAATTCTAACTAAGTGGAAGAAGAAATAGAAAGCACTCACTTCCTATACTTCTAGTATACACTCAATTCCTAATTTGCATCTGCTAGTATACAATCATGTGACCAATACCCCCTAAAAGTACCCTCCTGGTACTTCGAGAGACCACACCCGGTTGCCGAGTTCCTTACGACAACCTGTCATGGCCGTCCAACCGGGGCTAAATATGGAGGAGTACCCTCCCCAGGAATTTGTGTTAGGAATATATACTAACGTGGAGGAATACCCATACTAAGCTGTCACCATCAGCGGCCCACCTCTACTGTCCCGTAGCATATATGCCCAATTAATGATATTTAGTAATCTAATCACTGCGCTTACATTACTAAATACTATTCTACATCCATGCACACGATATAGAGCAACTGATAACTCAGACATTAAACCCGCACCATTGCACCTCTCTGATAGGCTACCCACACAATCGGTACGACACATATAAATAGTAAGAACAGTGCTAAGACTAAACAAAGTACCGAAGATGTATAAAGAAGAATATTTCATTAATACCGAAAATATTACAGGAGAGAATACAAGAGCAGCTAGAGCCATACTGAAACTCTTCCAAAGACTCCGAGGACTCCGAATACTATTCTATTCTACTCCACTTAGCACTAAAATACTAATACTAAGGGCCTGTTTGGTATAGCTCTAACTCCTAAATTTAGCTCCAAGAGTTGGGTCTGGAGTGGAGTTGTGGAGCTGCCTAAACCTAGCTCCACAACTCTAGTTCATTTTGTGAGAGAGCTCCACCCAGCTCCACTCCCAGTTTTGGTGGAGCTGAAACTGTTTGGCTGAGCTCCAGCTCCAGGAGGGGTAGAGCTGGAGCTGGAGCTGTGCCAAACAGGCCCTAAAGTATGAAGAGGAATTTGAGCATGCTTGAGTGTGTTGAGAGAGTGAATGAGCTCCTCCTTTTATAGGGCAGTTATGAGGGTTGTAGCCATGCGAGATATTCATTTTGCCCCTACAACCGTCATTGAAGAGTGATCTGGAGCGTCCACGTGGAGGGCCAGCCGGAGCCGACGCCACTAGGGTTCAGCCGAACCCTCAAACCTCGGCCGGCCCAACAGGCCTCCAGCTCCGGGCAGGGCACTGACTGGTGGGTCCCAATTGCGGTTGTGGCAGTTAAGGCGGTTTTCGGACGGTTACACCTGACAGGTGGGCCCTCCTTATCCATTTGCTTGCTTAGGAGTGAGGTTTCTTAACTTTATCATTATTTTATTTGATAAACTCATGCAACATATTATTCTCCAAATACAAGTGGAACTATATTAATTGAAAACAAATATGCATGTAAGCATAGCTAATTCTCCATTATCTTAGTTATATTGACAGTCGAAATTTGTCTGTAACGACCGTTACCATACATGATCTTTGCATGTGTGGTATATATGATTCAAACATGCACATGATCGTGTGTTTTCATTAGCATCTCACATACGAAGCACTTCCGTATACTATTCTTTTAACTCCTCTTATTCAAAGCTTCCAGTTCATATTTCACACTCTAGGTCATTTTAAATGTGAAAATCATCAATTACAAAGTTCTTGATCTCATTGAACTTTATAACTTTCATTCAGAGTTTGTCTCCATCTGAAGTGGATTCAGAATTTTAAAATTTATTTTATCAAAATAAATATAAGAAATTCTATCACTTGTTCCACTATATAAACGGCCTCAAAATGGAAAATTAGTGAACTATAAAGTTGTCAGTCTCATGAAGTTGTAAAATTTTAATATAGAGTTTGCCTTTATAAGATACATCTTGAAAAAGTTTTGCAACAAGGCACAAAAATATATATATATATATATATATCTGTTCTTCATTTTCACGACCTGCATGTGCATGGCTTGAGCTAGATGGGAAATGGCTCATATGTGTCCGTGTTTGGCCAAGGATTTCTAGACCAGTGTGCATATATATGTTGCACCTCCTCGTGTCATTTCTACCAACACCAGAGAAATGATCATTTGTGGATCGGTCAAAAATCACATTAGTCCCGGTTTCAATGGGAACTGGAACTAAACATCCTTTTTTCCCAGTTG